AACATTGTAATGATGATTCACACGCTGCTGATGCAGAAGGTGTGGGAGATCTTAACAGAGACATGTTGATTTTGAAACAAAATAAATGTATTGTTTTTAACTAAAACCTTACTCTTCAAAATTCTAAACTTTTTTTTTTTTTATAAAACTGTAGTTTATTCATAACAAATTGTGTTTTCATATTGAGTGGTGGCACTAGGATTTATAGGGGAATTATCGAATATAAATGGAAACAAATCAACTGGGCTATGGAAATGTTATAAAAAAATAAGATATTTAGGATTATGGCAAACCGGATATGGAACATGCTCATTTGAATTAATGGTTTCTCTTGACGCTTAATGGACACTAACCACAATCAGCAAGATAATGTATATTCCTATTAACCGTCAAGTACCGATAACTAAGCCTCTAATCAGATATCCTAAAATTTATATAACACTATGAAACGAGTTGTTTAGAAAATTTGTAATCAAAAGTAATCTGTGGAAAGGCATTAGAGATTACTAATCGGTCAATCTACTCGATTGTTAGTCCTCAAATAGTCGAATTCCAGAAAAGTTCTGCAATGTATTCCAAAGAATTATTTTGGCTACAAAATTTTCAACAACAGCTCATTTCTTGAAATCTACATATGCTATGTTTTTAAAGTAGGGCGTAACTGAACAGTTTCCTGCACAAATTCAGCCCCACGTTGGGCGCCATTTCTGTAATGTACACTGGCCTAAATTGGCTGAGCAACTGAGATTAATGTATAATATGTATTTTGGTCTAGATGACATAGACAAAGGATGTTAGTTGCTTTGGGTAAGATGTTATTACCACTCAGTTTGTTTCAGAAGGACTGCGGGAGCCTTTGTACGCTAACTTCAGTCGGGTGGGGGGGTTCGTGTCCTTCCATTACAAATCTGCAGGAGTACAGAAAAATATTATAGACTCCCTGAATGTTGTTAAATCGAATGATATGAAGTGTATGAAAAGTCCCACAAATTTACTATCTATTGCTCATATATTTGATATTCCCCATTTTACTATATCTCAGGTGGTGTGAGATATACGCCTCTTAACCCTCCCTAACCATAGTTCTGTTAGACGGAATTTGATACAGAACCCCATAACTCGTGTTACCTAGTTACGCCTTACCACTTCATGAAAACACGTTAGCTTCCTTAGTAATCCATTTCTTTAATTAGATAAACGCTCAAATATATGACATTATGAATCAAATTTTTATGCTATAATTATATGTAGTGAATAATTAAAATATTATAGGAAACATTATACTTAATCTAGAAAACAATATATGCTTAAAAATTACATTAACAAAAAAAAAAAAAAAAAAAGGAAATCTCAAAAAAATATTAGTAAATATATACGTGACACCCTAATATATAAATGACGTAATAAGTCTTATTGAATGAAACATTACAATTGTAATATTTGTTGTTTCTTTGTTCTACTTTTCGAGAACGTAAAAAGAGATCAATGAATGAATCAAACAATAGCTTGTGTGATAAGTAGATGACAAAAAAAAAAAAACTCAAAACAAAGAAACAAAAATCACTCAAAGTACTCACCAACTCCGTTTTACGCTGAACTTGTTGGAGGCCTCGAAGAAGTTCGTCGTTGCGGTGTTATTCGTTGTGTTGTTGTTATTATATGTGAAATTCAATTGATGATAATGATCATAGTAATGTTTTCTCTACCTCATTCACAAATTTGTTTGTTCTTCTTCATTCATTAATATATCATTACGTGCGTATGTTTGATTATAACAGGGTGAACCTAAATTATGTCTATAAATTCAGAAACAAAATATAACTTACACTAAAAAAATATATAAAAGTGTGAATGTAAATTTAACAATTTACATAATACTTATCTAATTTTTATAAAGATTTTGATGGTCTTAGAATTGCCCTGCTTAAGGTACGGACATTCTATTTTATTGGTGGATGGGTTTTTAGTGACAGAATGGTGGTTTGTCCGGTAGAGGATTAATATGATGATTTTAGGTTTGATGTATTTTCTGCGAGATCATATTTTATCTAACTGGAACACTATTATTGTCTGGAGGCTGGTTGTGGTGGATTCGATAGAGGCTGCAAATCAATCTAACCCTAATATAATGTTTTGGGTTTCTTATGATGAATTCTGTGGTTATTTAGCAATCCAGCCGGAGAAGTATTTTGTTGGAAATTTGGTTGAATGTAGCAAGTGATCGCAGTGGATGCTGAAGCTTTCGTAGTGGCAATGGTGGTGTGATGAATGATTTTAATATTAAGGCTTCAAATTTTTTAGTGCAATTTTTCACAATATTTGACGGAATGTTGGATTTTGTTCATTACAAATCATGCGGGGGATAATTGGTTGATAGAAGATGGTATTAAAATGCACTGGTTATACTTGACATCGCACATGTTGGCCCCCGACATAACCAAACAAAATTCGTCTTCACAGTTTGAGCCACGTGAAGAAAAATGTCGGGGGTTATTCTTTTCTTAATTATAGTTGCCTTTGTCACTATATACCACTTTTATTGAATTTTTCCAACTGAGTAGGCTGAATTTCAATGATTATACAATTTTTTAAGAAATTGTATTCTTTGCCTTGGCAAATTTAGGTTTATTTGCTAATAATTTCCTTATTTAAAATATGGAATTTGTCAATTTTTTAATTATCAAAATTATTTATCAAGTTTTTTTCAAAATTCTTTAACTTTTCAATTTAGGTTTTTGTGTTCTGTACTTCTTGAAAGGCGAGTTGTAAAAGGCCTGTTGCAAATTCTCTTTTCTATACGAAAGCTCTGTACTAAAATTATAGTTGTATAGTAAGGGAATTGCAATTGTCGATAGAGTTGCTTTTGATCTAAGGCAAAGAACGATAGTACGTTTTTAGCGTTGCCACTTAGTTTCAATCGATAAATGTGATGAGTAATTTTGGTCGAATCGTATATTACAGTTTGAACAAAACAAAGCAAAAGAGAAAAAAAACAGCGTATACAGAGAGTTAACTCTTTTTTGGCGAGAATTTCTAATGTTACTCCAGAAAAGTTTCCGAGTAATCTGCACATACTCGTTTCTTTTGTTTCATTTGAAAAAAAAAAAAAAAAAAAAAAAAAAACACAAAAATTCCTACATCAGCAGAGAGTTACCTTTTTTCTGTTGAGATTTTTTTACCGTTCCTTTCGAAAAGTTTCCGAGTACTCTGCACATGCTCGGTTCAAATTATTTGAAGAATTTTGTGTATACAATTTTTCTTTTTGGTTTTTTGATTATGATCAGTTTGTCGTCAGAATTTAAACGAAGCACGTGTGCAGTGTGTTGGCGTAAAAAGTTTTAATTTAAGGTGAAAAAAGTCATAATTTTAAGGTAAATAATTCAAATTTAACTAAAAATGTCACGACGTACTACAAAGAGAAATCTTAAAATACAAGCTGACAATTTATTACGCAACATATTAAGCAAACCACATAGGGATGAAGAGATAGACATGGCAGATAATATTTCTGTTAATCAGCAGAAAGAAGAAAGAGAAGCTCCCATCCCAAATAGTCAAGTATCGCCTTCTGTAAGTCATATGGAAGAAATAGAAGCCACCATCCCAAATGTACAACCGGCGCCTCATGAAGTATTTCAAGCAAATAATCCAGTTAGCAGCAATTTTAAAGCATTTTTAAGCGAATGGTCTATTAAGTTTTCAATACCAGGAAATGCAATGAACGAACTCCTTTCCAAATTAAAATGCTTTGACGAAACATTGCCCTTGGATATTCGAACTTTACGAGAAACGCCAAAAAATACCACGGTTGTAGAAATGGGAATGGGTACATATATGCATTATGGCATAGAAAATTGTTTGACTGATTTTTTTTTCAACAAACTGAGGTTTTGGATGACTCTTCAAACATTGTTCTAAATTTCGGCATAGACGGTCTGCCACTATTTAAGAGCTCCAAAAAATGTATCTGGCCAATAATGGTGAGCATCCAGAACTACGATAGTGTTTTTATTGTAGGCGTTTACATTAATGTTAACATTAATAACATTGTAGACAAATTTTCTAAACCCAAAGACACAAATATATTTCTGCAATACCTATTGGAAGACATTAGCAAATATAAAGAAGAAGGGTTCATGTTCCGAAATAAAGTGTACAACATCGAAATAGGCAATTTTGTCTGCGACGCACCCGCCCGGGCTTTTTTGCTTAATATTAAGTCACATTCGGGGTTTTATTGCTGCACAAAATGTACACAGAAAGGGGAATACTGCGAACGAAGGATAACATTCCCACATTGTTCCGCTGACTTACGCACTGACGAGTCCTTCAAGAACAGAGCTCATCCTGAACATCACACAAATTTAGGAAGTTTGGCTTTAGAATCTGTAGAAATTGGATGTGTTAGTCAGTTTCCCCTGGATTACATGCACGTTGTGTGCCTCGGTGTGATGAAGCACCTTCTGAAAGTGTGGACCAAAGTAAAAAGCCGGGAATTTAGTTTGAATGCTGATCAAATTGCAAAAATAAGTAGCCGAAACTTTCAAATTTCAAAACAATTTTGCTGTGAATTTAATAGGGTTCCTAGAACTATCGATGAACTAGATAGGTGGAAGGCTTCAGAGCTTCGTTCGTTTTTATTGTATAGCTCAATTGTGGTTTTGAAGAACGTTGTGAGCGATAGTGTATACAATCATTTTATAAAGCTACATATTTTCATACGAATTCTTAGTGATAAACGCATGTGCATTAAATTTAATAAGATTGCCGAACGTTTGCTTATTGAGTTCATTGTTGAATTAAGTTCAATTTATGGGCAGGCTCATTTAACCTATAATGCTCACTGTCTTATCCATTTGCCAAATGATGTTCTCATGTATGGTTCCCTTGATAACTTTAGTGCATTCAATTATGAGAATTATTTATATCAATTAAAAAGAAAAGTGAAAAATGGAAATAATATTTTATCTCAAATATCCAACAGGATTGTTGAGCAGAGTATCGTTCTTAAAGCAAATAAGAAAAAAACTGATTTTCCAATATTAAAAAGTCATATAGAGGACAATTTCTTCAAAACCGTAGTAACTCATAATGGGAAATATTCTATAAACCAGCCAAATAATTTAGTTGAGTTTGATAGTTTCGTGTACATAATTAGAAAAATTAAAAAAAACAGTAATGGAATTACATTAATTTGCAACAAGATAAATAATCTTGATAATTTATTTAATTTAGATCAATCGTTGGGAAAAGCGTTAGGAATTTTTAAGACAGAAAACGAAACTTTTTGCGAAAACAACATTGAGATTCTTATTTCAGATGTCACTCGAAAATATATTAAATTTTCTTTGGATTTTCTGACAATTTTTTTACCTCTTTTACAGAATGGAAGCTTCTAATACTAACAATTTTGAGTTACTATCATTGATAATTAAACAAAATGAGACGATTCTCGAACAAAATGCTAAACTAAATTTATTATTAGAAAAAAATAAGAATGAAATGGAAGATAAATTGCGAGTCCTTGAAGAACAAAATAAAAAACAAAACGATGAGAATTCGAAAATCTTTTCTTATTTTACAACCGAATTTATTGTATTAAAACGAAGCATTGATAGGATTCTGAAGGAGGTTGAAATCAAAAATAATATATATTCGCTGGAAACGCTTCGGTCCACCCAAGAAGTTTTACAATTCGATGAAAAATTGAAGGAAGATTTGGACCTTCAGAACCTTATGGTAAGTAAGCACCTTTTTACAATTTCTACTTTTATTAATCACCCTTATTATGGTTGGCGTTGTCGTAGGCGTTCAAGTGTCGTAGACGTAGTCGTAGGCGTTGTCGTAAATAAAAATTTTTGGTATTATGTACAATTTTCGACTACGTCTTTTTTGTAATAGATGTAAAAAAGCAGGGTGCTCTGGAATAATAAACAATTGTAGAATTTACGAGCTACCCGGTTAAAAGAAATAAATGCGTCAGTTGAAATAGTTGAAGTAAAACGATCATTTGTTTAATTAAATATTGAAATATGTTAAGTGTTGGCAATTTTTTATCTGAGGATGAAGATGAGTATATTCAAAATGATTTAAACGTGAGGCGAAAAATATTGCGGCAAGAGTCTAACATATTTTCCATGACTGATTCCCAGTAAGTAAAATGTAAAATGAGGAAGAAGCTAAAATAAATATTTTTCTCTAGATTTGTTAGTTACTTCAGGCTTAGTAAGGATGCATTTAAATATGTTTTGGGTCAAATCACTCCAGACCTCCGTAACCGGGTTAAATCTACAAGTGTCCCAAATACACTAAAACTAGCCGCAACAATTCGAATACTGGCTGAAGGAAGTTATCAAAAGGGTGCTGGGAACGATTTCAATGTCAGTTTATCACAGTCGTCTGTCAGCAATGTGTTCCGCGAGTGCATAGAAGTATTACATAATAAGCTGTGTCCAAATTGGATCTCTTTTCCCACCACTGAAGAAGAGAAATATGAAATTAAGGAACATTTTTTGAAAAATACTGGATTTCCTGGTGTGATTGGATGTATTGATGGAACGCACATAAAAATTGTTGCGCCAAGAATGGAAGAGAGATTCAAATACTTGAACCGGAAAGGATTCTACAGTCTCAACGTAACGGTGGTATGTTGCATAACTTATAAATAATGCAAATAGCTTTACTCTCTGTATTATTGTAGGTGTGTGATCATAAATTAAGAATTAGATATATATCATCACACCATCATGGATCCGTTCACGACTCGTTGGTTTGGAATACAAGTGATTTGAAACAACACATGAAAGAAAACTTTGACAATGGCGAAAGAAATACATGGATATTAGGTACATATATTAAATAAAATTAGTTATGACTTATATCAAGTTCGTTGTTTTAGGTGACGCAGGATATCCATTGGAAAAATTTTTAATTACGCCATTTAGATCAGCTGACGAAGGCTCACCAGAGTGTAGATTCAACAAAATACATTCAAAAACAAGAAATATAGTTGAACGAGCAATTGGGGTGTTGAAGAACAGATTTCGTTGTATATTAGGAGCGAGACAATTGCATTACACCCCTGATATATGTGGAAAAGTAACAGCAGTTTGTGCAGCGTTACACAATATTTGCATACATTTCAAAATTGAAATGCCGATAGTTAACGCAAACCCCTACTTCATGACAGATTCAAATGATGTTGAAATGAACGACGATTTGAATGCATTAGACATAAGATCATCAATAATGCTATCTTTAAGTAATTAATTCATTTTATTATTAATTATCTTATAAAAAGTAAAATTCATTTTTAATATTTAAATATAAAAGCTATGCTTTAAGTTATAACATAAATAGTTTCACTGAAATCCACTCCTTATTTCTTCTAATTCCAGACGTCTCTTTTCAATTTCAATTTCATCTTTCCTACATCGCAATAACTCCTTTCTGAATTCCGCCTTATTTTTATATTCTTCTTTAAGAAGTTTTAATTTTTCTTCCTTTAACTTGTAACTAATTTTTCTTTGTTTTAACAACTCTTCATTCAGTTTGTAGTTTTTGCGTTGGTACCTCTCAATATCATTTAATGATCGTTTAACATCAGTATATAATTCTGTTTGCACCTTCAGCTGCTCTTCAAGAAGTTCATATTTGTGGTCACTTTTCTTTTGTCTTTTTGAAGAAGTCGTTGGAACCTCTTCCTGTAGTTCATTTTGATTCGGGTTATTTGTGCTTACAGAGGGAAGCGTACAGACATCTTGGATGACAACAACCTGCTTCTGTTGCGTATTTCGGTGAAATCTGTTTACGCTTGGAGGAGTCAGTATGCAGGGATTGTGGTTTTCTTTGTCCTCGCCAATTTCAAACCCTTCAAACAGTTCCTCCTCAGTCTCCAGTTCACCAAGTATTGGACGCTGTTGAATTCCAATTGCTTGGTTCCCTGCATTTACAATTGTCTCCAATTGTAACAGGCGTGATGCTGCTTCCTCCGTTTCGCTTAAAATGAACTGCTTGAAGGGCCCTCCACCTGTAGCACGACATTCTGCCTTGTTATGAACAAGCTTCTTCCTCAATTTAAATTTGTAGTCGGCCCAGACTTTCATCCAGTCTTCGCCAGTTCGAACCGGCGGTCCCAAGATATTGAGTTTTTCACCAATTTTGTTCCATTCTTCCTTAATGTTAACTTTTTTCAAGCCACTGCTGTAACCTCTAGCCAAATTTGGATTCCTTTGCAAAATCTGGATCATTTCATCAAATTGTTTTTTCGTTGTGACTTTAAATCTAGAAAAATAGAAATGTTAATAGCTTTACATACATATATTTTTGTAATGTTGATACATACTTCTTATTCAAATCCATTTTGTATATAATTTATTCTTTTGTAAACTCAATTTGGGAAAACTTGTGTGTTGTCGGCAACAAAATCTCTAACGACTAATTTTGCAGCATTTGTCGAATTAGAACGCGTCTTGTGGTACGAAAATTGTAACAGAATTTCATACAGAGTTGTAATTTCTCGCATACGACACACAAAATACCAATTAGTCGTTACGACGCGTCAACTTGCAATTTTCGATACGACTACGCCAGCCATAATAAGGGTGAATATCTTGAATTGTTTAGCTACGCCGTTTAAAAAATCAACCCCATGACAACATAAAGACTTTTATATTTGAAAATTTGAAACTTATTTTCCAAACAGACGAGGTCATTACAACGTTTTCGTGGCACAATATGTACCAAAACACGGCTGTAAAGGACATGTATTTTATAAGGCTCCTTAAAGGTTTGTATCCTTGTGTTTTAAACTCTTTAATAATGTAAATCATATTTTTTCATTTTTTATTATTTAGATGCAGCATTGGAACATATTCCGGGAACTATGGGAAGTACCATAGAAACCCAAATAAAGCATTTTTTAATTCGGCTAAAGATAGACTTAACAAACGGCTGAAAAATAAACGAAAAGTATGCAATTAAATTATTTTAAAATAAAGTTTTAGACCTTAGTTATATTTATTCAAATTGAATTGTAACTTTTTATGTTTTTTTTTTATTATATTTTAATTTCTTTATCCATTAAATTTCACAAAAAGACTGAATAAAAATGATCTATTATTAAATTAAAATATATATACAGAATCAATTATTTAAAAAATTAGATGAATTTTAGTATTTCGGTTTTTCGATTACAACTACAGAATAAATTCAGATTTTTTTGCGAATTTCGTATCAAACATCCTATTATTTTCCGATTTTCGAATGAATTATTCGAATTTTTCCCGATTTTCGGATAAAACTACAGAATAAATTCAGATTTTTTGCGAATTTCGTATCAAACATCCGAAAAATTTGCGAATTTCGTATCAAACATCCTATTATTTTCCGATTTTCGAATGATTTATTCGAATTTTTCCCGATTTTCGGATAAAACTACAGAATAAATTCAGATATTTTTTCGAATCAAACATCCGAAAATTTTCAGAATCTCGGATCAAACATCCGATACGTTTCCGAATATCGCATCAAACATCCTATATTTCTCCGATTTTCCGATAAAACTATGGAACAAATTCAGATTTTTTTCCGAATTTCGTATCAAACATTCGAAAATTTTCCGAATTTCGTATCAAACATCCTATATCTCTCCGAATTTTAATTTTTTCTTTGCCGAATTCTATACGAATTCGCCCCGAAACTCTTACGTTCTTTCAGAATTTTTTCCGCAAAATCTTTCAGAGTCTTGGGCAATCTCACACAATTTTTTTCCGATTTCTTTCCGAATTCGACATCAGAGTCGGAAACTTGTGCAGAGTTTTTTTCCGAATTCGGAAGAAAATCGGAAAAAAATGTTTGCTGGGATATTTACGTTGAGCGGTCAATCGTCTCGTCATCACACAGCATACACACACGCGCCTCACATACATATTTTCGAAATTGATCTTTTTATTTTTTTCGTTTTTTCTTTTGTTCACGTGTACCCTACACTAATCGGGTTGGTCAATAGTGACTGGTCAACACGTTGGGAACAAAGAAAAATATTTTTTGATTATTGTATTGTGGCGTGTGTATAATCACATTTTAAGGTAATTTTGGACATTTTAATTTATCGTGTACCCTACAGTCCGCATATATAGAATTTTTATTCGGTTTGTAAAAATTATTATTTTTATTGTATTTGGACATAAAAATAGTAATTTTTTGCCGTTTTTAATAAAAATAGTTGCAAAAATAATTATTTCTATATATTTTATCGAATTTTTGCAATTATTACCTTGTTTTATTAATATTATTTTAAATATTTCGTGATTTTTTGGCTTTTTTACATATTTTTGTGGATTTCGTCCCTTTTTTATAAAGGGAAAATAAATATTTTGTGCAAAATTTTGAAACTTTTCGCTAATTTGGTTGTCCTTTTCGCTTTTCGGATTTTTTGGAATTTTGGAATATTTTGTTGGTTAAGCTTAATTATTTGGCTGATTTTTCTGATTTTTTAATCGAATTTCGGATTTTTTTTTGTAAAGGAATTTATATTATTGCAAGCCTTACAAGGATTTATCGTTTCGTTCATTGGAATATTCACTTTTTTCCAATTTTTGGGTTCATCAAAAGAATATTTTCCAAAGGATATTTTCTTCGGTTTATTTGTCGTTTCGTGTGAATTTATATTATTCGCAGCATCATGGCTCTAAATCCTCTCAAGAATTTCACTAGAGTTTCCGATAATATGGTCAAGTTTTGTGCTAAAATTAAAGACGCGAAAGAAGAAGACTTAGATGTTTTCATTTTAGAAGTAAAAAGTGCCGAGTTAAATAAAAATGGGTTGACTTAGAAAGTTCCTTTGGAAAATGTCTCGACTATTTATCGACTGCCGAGGATACGACTGCTGAAGACATTGTGGTTGTCGATGGGAAATATGAGGTTGTTCATGACTTATATATGGAGTGTGTCGCGCTCATTAATAAATATTTGCATAAATTCCGGCGATCTCGAAAATCATCATTAAGCTCATCTTTTAGTTCAGTGGTTTCTTTAAATCAGGATCCCTCTTATATTCCTAAGGATGACCAGACCCCGTCTGGAATTCCAAAGGAAGTCCAGGCCAGAAACTTAGATTTAAATAAAACGAACTCGTCTACCCACACTGCTCGGAATGTGGGTACGCAGGCTTCTAGCTCCGCAATATCTAATATTGGGAATCCTAGGGATAGCTCGAGTTTTGCTATTGATCCGCCGAATTTTGATATGGTCCACAATCTTGCGTTGCCTCCATGCGATACTGATGTCTTCGAAGGTGATTTTCTCTCCTGGCCAACGTTTAGAGATCTTTTTAGCGCGGTTTATATTAATAATTCCAGATTAAGTGATATTGAGCGTCTCTGTCACTTAACTCGAAAAACTAGTGGGGAAGCTCGTGAAATTGTCGCTAAATTCCCCTTAACTAACCGCAGTTTTGGTCTAGCTTGGGACGCGTTGAAATCTACGTATGATAATCCGCGTTTGTTGATTCATAGTCAGTTTAAGACATTGTTTTCTCTCCCGGTACTTGAAACTGAGACATGTTCGGGCCTCAAACAAATCCAGCGTGGTATTAATGGTTGTTTGTCTGCAATGTCCATTTACGACGTTCGTACGGATAATTGGGATCCGTTTTTAGTCTTTATTTGTTTGGAAAGGCTCCCTAAAATTACACAAACCTTATGGGAGCAGAGTGTTAAAGATAAATCATCTATTTCGTTGTGGAAAGACCTAGATAGCTTTTTGTCGGAAGGAATTCAGACACTCATGTGTCTACATGGTATGAGAGGAAATGATCAGCCCACAAAGTCTAATGTTAAAAAACTTCGAAGTCATATGACTAATACCAATTCTTCTCGCTCTCCTAATCCTTTTTTAACTGAACGTTTTCAAAATAGGTTGAAACTTCCGGTAGGTTCAACTAATGCTGTTATCTCTGGTGTGAATTGTGCAATTTCGGCCAATTCTCGTAAAATTTGTTCTCTGAAGATTGGAAGCCCTTTGGATCCATCGATCAACTTAGAAACTCGTGCGCTGGTGTTGCCGTCCATTTCTGGAAACCTGCCCGCGGTCACTGTCTCCTCTGATTTTAGAGCCCAAATGCCAAATATTCGTCTGGCAGACCATAACTTGTTCGACTCCCGTCCAGTGGATCTTTTGTTGGGTGCTGATTTGTATCCAAAAATTTTATTAGAGGGATGTCATTCGATTCTCTGTGGAACGTTGCTTGCCCAAAATTCTGTCTTCGGATGGCTTGTCACTGGACCGATTCCTTCTTCGCAAATTCGAACATTTGCCACTATGGTTGACGTCGCGGAAGAGGACTCCTTAAACAAAACTTTGTTGCGCTTTTGGGAGTTAGAAGAAATCCCTAAGCGGAAAATGATGACTCCATCCGATCGTATCTGTGAGGAATATTATATCAGGTCGACGCGTAGAGACTCCGAAGGTAGATATGTGGTGACGCTTCCTTTGCGATCTGGGTTCGGTGAAGATTTACATTTGGGAGAATCTCGCCCAAGCGTCCTCAGACAATTTATTCGTAATGAGGCGTCGTTATCTAAAAAACCCGAGGTGAAAGCTATGTATGATAAGGTCTTGATCGAGTATTTAGAACTTGGCCACATGAAGCCAACAGACATTCCAATCTGCCATAATTATCTTTCGTGTTATTTGCCTCACCATCCGGTAATTAATCTCGAAAAACAAACTACAAAATTGCGAGTTGTTTCTAACGCCTCCAATAAAACTTCGACCGGCATTAGTCTGAACGACATGTTACATGTAGGACCTTCTTTGCAACTCGACCTAGTACTTTTATTACTTCGTTGGCGAGTGTATAGGTTCGTGTTCAATTCAGACATTACTCAAATGTATAGGCAAATACGTGTAGACCCCAAACATACACCGCTTCAAAGAATTCTTTATCGGGACTCGCCAACCAAACCCATTCTCGACTATGAATTGCAAACGGTAACTTTTGGCCTTAATTGTGCGCCTTACTTAGCAATCCGGACGCTTCTACAACTCGCTGACGAGACTGAGTCTGAATATCCGCTCGCGGCCAAAATATTGCGATCATCCATGTACGTAGATGACGTTTTGGCCGGAACACATGACCTCGAGACGGCATTTATTGCTAGGGACCAGTTGATCGGAGCACTTTCTTCGGCTAAGTTTGAATTGAGGAAGTGGACAGCCAATGACAAGTCAATTTTGGATTGTTTTCCTCCAGAGCATTTGGTTGATGTTCAAGTTTTGTCGTTTGAGGAAGCTAGTGGCTCAAAACCCTTAGGAATTAGATGGAACGCGAGGTTGGATTCGTTTTACTTTGAGGTTTGTCCTATTGAAACTAAATCAAGTTATACAAAGCGGGAGGTACTATCTTCAATCGCCAAACTTTTTGACCCGGTAGGTTGGGTTAGCCCGGTTATTGTGACCGCGAAAATCATAATGCAAAAGGTGTGGCTAGACCAAATTGGTTGGGACGAGCCCTTGTTGCCCGCTACTTATTCGGAGTGGCGCAAATTCGTCGATTGTTACCCTAAGGTAAATTTGATAAAAATACCTCGTTGGCTTCGGTATACCCCTGAGTGTTCGGCTGAATTACACGTCTTTTCGGATGCCTCTGTTAAGGCATACGCGGGGGTAGCATATATGAGAATCGAATCTCCAGATAAAAATGTGTTCGTGCATTTATTATATAGTAAGACAAAAGTGGCTCCATTGAAATCTATTTCTCTCCCTCGTCTTGAACTTTGCGGCGCAGTATTAGCCTCTGAACTTTTAAAAATTATCGTCAAAGAGATCGATTTAGAATTTCGTCAAGTTTATTGTTGGACGGATTCCACTATTGTGCTGTCGTGGCTAAGAAAAACTCCTTCCACTTGGACTACATTTGTAGCTAATCGAGTATGTAGAATTCAGGAAAATGTGGGGAATCATAACTGGTATCACGTTAGGTCGGAGGATAATCCAGCAGACCTGGGAAGTCGTGGTTTATCGCCCGCAGATTTAGCTGTGAGCTCTCTTTGGTGGCATGGGCCTCAATGGCTTAGCAAAAAGAAGTCGGATTG